TTTTACAGGGTTCATCTACATAGCTATTTATCGAATTTTAGTTGTTGGTTTCCGGATCGCTTGAGAAGGAGCAGAGTGACTAGGTAATATTGGCAAAGAGGGTGTGAAAATTACAATAATGACTATAGGCCACGCCCCTAGTTTTATTTTCAGTTTTGTGATTTACGCCTCCGAGGCTTGTTAATTTTCAGTAAAATAGTTTAAATCGAGTTTTATCACATACTTTCTTTGCCTAATCGTTGTATTAGTTTCGACATTATCAAGTTATTGTAAACTGTGATTTCAGCTTACTGTATATGTCTTTCCTTAGGTTGATTGGGCTGAATCAATCTATTTTGCCGTATCATTTAGAGTCGATAATGGAGGAGGCAGTGCAAAGCTGTGAATATAGCAGATTTCTGGATCTTATGAGTGCCAGGTCCCAATTTTAGGAGCTTGTCTTTTTATACACATAGTCTATTTAGACTTAGGGAAAACTAGTTTAATAGTGACCTTCTGCAGAAAAAGGTTTGGAGAGTGTGGAACAATTCTTTCGGGTAAGGAGGAAAATGTCTATACTTAATTAAGCCTCTTAGTAATTTGTATTGCCATCTATATAATTAGTAAAATATTTTGGATAGTGTTTTGAAAATTTTTACTTTGCCTGATCGAAATTTGATGAATATGCTCATATATCTGATTTACTGGTAGTTTCGAAACCCTGCTTACGTTCGCAAGAATAAATAAATTAATATGACAAAATGCTTACTTGCGGATCCAACCCAAAATATAGTTATAAGTAAAGTTTAAAATATAAGTATTATGAAAGGTTTAAGCATATTTCACACGATATTCTTAGAATAAACTCATTTGAAGTAGGATTATCCATTAATAAGCACTTTATATTTAATGAACTTGAGAAGAATTTGGCCAGATACGAAATAAATATTTCCACGGATCTCTCGCTTTCTCAATCTACATTTAGATTTAGTTCCAGACAATCCGAGATATGCGGTCACATGTGTTTATCCATACTTGCGTCGTCCTCAAACTATTATAGAACCCAGAATCTGACGCCATTTATGGCATAGTAATCTTGCATCCAAGACAATGGCTTACCCTTGCGCGCTTCACATGCATAAATGAGTACTTGTTTATAATCAAACAATTCAATGTGTGAATTTATGTTTATTATATGCAAGATATACCAGAAGTAATTAAATACGAATTTTTGTGTTTGTCTGCTTCCTTGACAATGGTAATACTTGGCTTTTCTTTTCACACTAATAGGCCGATGTCAGAGTTGCCGAACGTGAAATCACCATGATTCAATTACTCCAAGCACAGAAGGAAGGGCGTATATTAGAAATGTTTGGATCAGGGACGGCATGTACTGTTAGTCAAGTCGGCGAAATACTTTACAAGGGCGAGCGACTCAGAGTACCCGCCCCTGTAAAGAACTCATTAACATCAAGAGTATATGATCGGCTTTCGGATATCCAGGTAAGAAAACTTAGTTTTACCAAACAGGCGATTAAGCTACCGATAGAGTTAACTTTTACTACTACCCAATTTCCATTATTTAAACTGTTTATAAATGAAAAATTTGTTTACATGCAAAACAAATTATGGTGTTACACAGCCTTTTAGATATTCCACCCACGGTACATTTAAGAGGAGTTTTAATTTTTAATTGTATCCTATTCTATTGTAGAATGATCTATTTATTTTAAGCACAGTTGTTTCATTTCCACATCTGTCTATTAATGGTGTAGTCCTAATCAGAGATTGCGGAAGCTACACTCGTTTTAGGAATTCATCCGAAAGAATTTTTTTACAATTAAACAACGTTAAATTACTTCATATATTATTCGCGAATTTTTTAATAAGACTACGTTATTTATTAAGTATAGTGATGGATTAATTAAATTAGTTGATAAATGTGACTTTGATTCAAAGATAAAAATTGTATTTACTAAAAGTAAATCGACTCCAATAACCTGATAAGATATAAGGACTCATCTTATAACTTATCCACGTAATAAATGTGAAAAAATGGTTTAATTATAATTATTTAACACGTTTCAGATTGCTCAAATATCCCAGAATCTTTTTGGTGTTATATTTACATCAAACCATTAAGTAATAATCATATATGTACTTAAAAATTAGAGCTTTACATTAATATGCATGCTTTTATAGCAGCGAAAAGAAGAAAAATAAGGTATTTGTAAAAATATTATGATAAATCTTTTTCCAGAGTTATTTAGTCATAAATCAAATATTTTTTTACAACTTTTAGTATGGCGTTGTCAAACCCCATGAATGGGCGTTACCAATCAATGAAATTTAATTTTTTTATCAATGAAATCATCGCTTTCATTATTTCTGTGATTTAAACTATAAAGTATAGAATCGGATAAATCAGGTTTTAGAGATAAGGCCAAATTTTAAAAAGCTTTGGATCTCAGATTATTTTAGGACAAATCCGATAGTGCTGTCAATATAATTCTTGTCAAATTAACGACCTCTCTTAAGTCCCTATTGTTTTTTAGTCTAATAATTGCAGCATGCAGATTCGTTTTACTAAAGAACTTAACTGATATTTTATATCTGCATTTTGCAGAATTTGAATTTTTTTACCAAAAACGCATTTTAGCTAATTTTAAGCTGCTTTCTATCTTAAATGGACTTCCAAAAATCAAGCATCTTCCAATTTTACTACACTCAAGTTTAAATTTTATACTTCATTCCATAAGCTGTCCTTGGCTTATTATTATTTGAAAACACTTTATATGTATATGTTAAGGTATGCATATTCTCTTTCACACAAAACTTGCCTGGTTGCTTGTTAATATTGGTTTTGTATTTTAATATTATAATTTAAATCGCATTTTAACAATAAACTAATCATATTGGCCAGCTCAATATTAATACAACCTGTCGACTGATTGACAATGGCACTAATATTGTACTTATTTATTCAACTTAACTGATTTTCTCTTAATTATCAATAGCATAATTTTTCACTATTTGAGCACTGCTTATATCAGCATCAATTATCTTAGAATTTATTATTTTCATTTTAAAATATAATTTTGTAAATGTCTTCAAACAATTTATTTATCAAATGTTATGGATTGTGTATGAAAGTCATTTTTTTATTTAATACTTAAAAATAAGCAAGTTACCAATAAAATCTTTTTAATAATAACAAGTTATTTTAATTTGGTTTTCTTCTAAACTGTCCTTCTCTGATTTGTGCATTATTGGAGCTCAGATTTAAAGTCCTGAATTGTCTGTTAGAGTTATCCCAGATTGCATATACGAAGAAATAGTGGGTTTCGAAAAATCTCTTGAGAAAATAATGAAGTAGATACTTTCATTTCGTATGGAACTACCTGATAAACAGGTTCGTGGGTATATCTCACCATAAGTTGCTGGCTTATTCGAGTTGTACTGCAACAATTTAACATTAATACGACGTTCAGGTTGCTACAATCCAAGAGGCCCTCCAGCGTTTCAGGCGAATACGGGCTGAGCTTTTGTTCGTCATATGATGGACATCGTCAGAGCTGGAACTCATTTTTACAAAACCTTCAAGCTAACACTAAGTCAATAAGACTCACCGGTTAATTCTATATATAATAACTCATTGCGAGCCAGTTTTAAGACATGGATTGATATAGAAAGGTTTTGTAAATTCACTTATACTACAGTGTGTCTGTGTGTGTATGTATATTAATCTATGTACGCAAGACCAGCCATAATTCAAAGAAACTTAACATCAGCCCCAGGTCTTTAAAGCTTAATGACCCAAGGAAAAAGGTATGACCCACATTGCGTTAGTCCGTAAGTAACCCTGGTTATAGTGATGAGATGTAGTTCTGTAGGTGTGTAAGTCAAGTTACGGAGCCACTAGTCCAAACCAATTAGTCGGGGTTTTTAGGGTTTAATGAATCAATGATCAGCTTGGTTGAGATTGCGTAAGCCCTTACGTCTCTTCCAGGTGATGAGCTTGACATTCCTATCAAACGAATGTGAATTTGGGTAGAAGCATCACTCAGCCAATAAGTTAATTCATCCTCTTTTGGAGGCTGGCTCAATAACATCTGTCTCTTTCAATCAAGCATGAATATTTTTTTCGCAATTAGGTCATATTGGTGAAAAGACTTGGAGGATCGTACCTAGTCCGTAGTCCATTGTATGCATGATCATTTCCAAAGTTGGATCGTGGGCGTGGTACATTCCCAGACGTTTCGCCGGCATTGTAGTTGGCGTCGTCAGTGAGTCTCGCCATTCTCAGCACCACACAACAGCTCGTCAAGAGACAATTGAAACCGATCCTTTGACCAAACGTGTACTAAACAATTGTGGTATCTCCCCTTCTGCCCTGGACTATTCACGTTTCCTATATCCTTGTATTTAGCCTTCACTGTTACAATTTTTACATTGCTTATTTAGATGTAGTGTGGTGTACTGCTATGAACTGCATTCATGAAAACCCTCTACACTCCACCTCTGTACTGGGAATGTTGATCAGAGTCTGCCATATTGTTACGCAGTCATCCTTCCCTAGGTCTTATCACAGTCTCTCCTGCCCCGTAAGATCCGTCTGCCATATCCCTGGTTCACATAATTCACTCGACCCCTGCCACCTCATCTGTGCTATTCGAGGCATTATTCGCCCTCCCCTGCGACCGGGTGACTAATTCGAAGCTAAAACCTCTGAGTAGGTCTCAGCGTCAAGTTTTTGTGGTTCAACATTGAACCTGATCAAAGCAAGCAATGCCACAGCATTTGTGGGTTAGCACACAAAAGACTAAGGCATAGAAAGTCATACACTTTGTATTAGGCATAGAAACAGGATAGACGCGGCGGAGACTGGATCTAGTTGGCTAACAGTAGGTTTTACCATAGACGTGGTCCATGTAGCAAAGTCTTGACGCTGAGGCGTATTCAGAGGCTTTAGCCTCGAATTAGTCACCCAGACACAGGGGAGGGCAAATAACACCTCGAGTAGCACATATGGGGTGACAGGGGTCGAGTGAAATATGTGAACTAGTGAGAGGGCAGACGGATCTTACGGGTCAAGAGAGAGACTGTGATAAGCCATATGAAAGGAGGAGGGCGTAACAATATTGCAGACTTAACAATAACGATGAAGGGGGGGCAAGAATGACAGAGTGGAGTGTAAAGGGTTTTTATGAATGCCGCTCAAAGAAGCACGGTAAAAATATAATAGTGAAGGCGTGACTGAAGGATATAGGAAATGTAAATTGCTTAGGACAGAAGGGGAGATACCACAACTATTTAGCACACGTTTGGTCAAAGGATCGGCTTCACTTGTGTCTTTGACGATTTGCTGTGTGGTGCAACTAATGGCGGACTCACTGACGATGCTGGCAAAACGTCTGAGAATGTACGACATCCACGGTCCGACTGGAAATTATCATGCCTACAATGAACTCCCAACTTGGTGCTTTCCTCTAAGTCTTCCTAAAATATGACTTAGTTGCGAAAACAAGTTCAAACAACCTCTATACAACAAAAGGAGACTTCTACCACACAAAAGGCTACACCATTTTGTCCTTCATACCCTAGATAAGTAATTTTTGCTCAACTTCCCACCACCATTCCTCACATTTAATGTGTCCCTAATCTATTAATCTCAGTAGCCTCTCCTATCTTACGTTTCGTAGCAGACATACCATGGCTCACTGTTTGGTGAAGAAATCTGAGAAGCTAGAAAACTTAGGTATTAGCATCCGTATATGGGACCTTGTATCTAAGGCAAGGACTAATAAGGATAGGTCAAGTCATCTAGGTCTAACGGTCAAAAGTGGTAGAACATATGACTGAGTCTTGATCTGAGATCAAATTGTCTCGTACCTAGAGACTTGCTGATTATGTATTTTTGTTTTTCCCCATATTACGACTTGTTAACAGTCGAATATCTCAATTTATTTTGTATACACATATAGATTTCATGCAGTACCATATTTGCTATACATTGCGAAACATTGGTTAACCTGCAGTTTCAATACATCTCACGTTTATGACAAGTGGTATCTCTTTTACAGTAGGTTTACTTACTTGCGCACGGCGTGGATTCAGTCCTAACTCCTTAATATGCTCCCCTTAATTTAGCTTCTTATGTCCATAAACAGAATTCGATTTTTAATATTACCTTGACATTCGATTGAATCTTAAAGGGTCATACTAGTATTTTTATCATCATATGGTATTTATTTTGTTTAAAAGAATCCTGTGGGCTGAAAATAAAATAAACTACAGTTTGGGCTTTGACAGAAAACTAGCCTTTCAGTTTGGGAACAAATGCTGAAAATGGGAAGCACAATTCAGACTTACGCCAGTCAATGATGTTGATGTAACAACCTAATGTTCCTTCTTTTAACTACATGGTGCTTCATTCACTTGTACTTTTTTATGTTAACAATGCCATCGAATCCCTTCGAAGAACATGATTTTATAATGTTTTATCCTCTTGAAATTCATACGTGTCCTGATAATAAAGACATAATTTTTCATTTTAGTCTCGCTGAATTTTTTAATTGATTCTTCATAATAAACTCAATTTATGGTGACTGGGGTGCGAATTAAGCCTAAGACATATGGATAATGCAGGTAAATATCTCCATAATAAATCGTCTTTAACCCATTCAAATCCAAGACTTAATTAAATAGCATTGCTGGCAGTTGCAAAAGAAATGTGTCATTTTATCTACTAAGACATTTTACAGCCACCTAGTCAAGAGGTGTGTTGAGCTCTGTATCCTATATTCGGATTTAGTTGGTTTTAAAACTATCAATCATTATCTTTTACTCTATAAAAAAATTCCTATGGGATTTAAATAACGTTATTATTTTATCCATAATAGCTAAAAATGACTCTGTTATACTTAGGTAATGTTGTTATTACTCTTTTATCTAGTCCTTAAAACAAAAATTTATGCTATAAGGCTACCTAGTAGGCTGTGGAATATGCGGCCTGTTCAAGCACTAGTCGTCAGTCTTGATTTATCTCTCAGTTCTCTTCCAATGAGACACACATCGTGGCTAAATGGATCTCATTTAGCCTACTCACTAAAGTCGCTTAATTTTGGGACGACTTTAAATGATCCAAATACGCAATCCCATGGCATGCGACTAAACCTGATTAAAGTAATTTGGATCAAGAACGCTTCTTCTGGGCAACTATTTGTCAAGTGAGCAGAGATTTTGACAAAAGGATCCCAATTGTTTTGGAGACTTTTTATTTCTTATGCTAGCGGCCGTTTGTCTTTAATACTACGTTCGGGTTGACGTAGTTCACAAAGCATCCTTCCTTGTTTCGGGCAAAAACGGGCTGAGCTTTTGTTCGCCATACGACAAGCATCATCACAACTGGGACTAATACTTGCGAAAGTTTTATGTTAACTCTAAGTAACCCAAAAATATATTCCTATCTTATCGAGCCTAAATCAACTTAATTATTTGATTTAACTTTCAAAGATAATTACCAAATTATCCTATATTTTTAATATATGTTATTGCTTAAAGCTGATGGGCAAGTCAGTCTAATCTCTTCGTCCTAATAATGTTAGATTATCGTCACTTATTTACTGATAGATGTAATTGAGTTTGGATGGTCAATAAATTATTTAAAAAGGCAATAGTCCACATCAGGTTGCCTGTCCTCTTGCTATTACTAAATCATGGGGCAGTATATTATTAGATTCAAAGAGAAAATATCATTCTATAGTAGGATAAGCCTCTAACATTTATTTAAATGTCGGCACCAGCATTCGCTTAGGCTTATCACCTTTCGTAAATATAACTATCATAATCAAGTATAGCAAATAGCTCAGGGCTTATCAGTAGCAAATTTGATGTTCAGGGTAAGATAACAAATTATCTCCGAAAGAGCATCTTTCTTAAATGATTAAGTTGTTATCAATAAGCAATTATACCTGAAAATATATATAACCTCGAACTAACTTTAAACAAATTCAAATTGTTGAGCTCATTTCTATTTAAAGAAAAGGTGTGAGATGATTTAAAGTCCAATCTGACCAAAGACAACGGCGGATTCGTCTTTGCCTGTTGTTGGCCAACTTTGCATGATCATTTTTGGCGATCCTACACCAAAGGAAATATCCCTGCATTCCAATGAAAACATTTTAAGCTTTACTTTGTCATATAATGAATATCGTTAAGACATCTTATCATTTTTAGAATCATGTTCAAGCTAGAATTTCAAGAGAACCCACGCGTTTATACCTTTATACTATATAAAAATACCCTTAACCAATGCATATTTATGAGACATTAATAAATCAAGTTAGTGAAATTTATATGTCTGTCGGTATGCATGGGCGTACTTATCTATGCGAAGCTAACGGTGGTAGCTCAAAGTGATTAGAATAGGGCGTAACAATTGACTTCAGTAATCAAGTTATAGTAACTGCACCCCCTTTCTTTAACCATTCCTTAGATTCCAAAATTTCGGGCACACTTCTGGTTAAGTTTATGAAACTCTTGTCTGTGTATGTGGGTGGGAAACAGAGAGAAATAAGTTACACAAAAGGTATGATCTTAATTCGAATCATAATCAACAAAAAGATAGTTGAGTCGCCTCTTTTTGCCAGGGGGCTCAGCAGTATTTATCCCGAAGTCTATCAATTAAACATAAGTAAGCCTTATTAACTTTTTATGTGCCTTCCTGCCCTATACTGTTACCCAATATTAATTAAATTGTATTCTGAATAAATAGGTTTTAAAACTATCAGGAAATGTTGATTAGGAACCAATTTTACCCTAGATCGCAAGGAACGAGGAAGGACTGATATTTTAATCATTCCATAATAATAGTGAACTACAGTCCGTTCTGGATGAGATTTCTCTTTGGAGGCAGAGCCAAGTAAAATTTTATGGCATCGTGGAGTCACTCATCTTTTAAAAAAATTCAAGTATCGGTCCTTTATCTCTATACTTATTTTCTAGATCTGCAACTAGGTAGAGAACACATATTCTGAATTTAAAAAATGTAGTCGATCGTAATAACAAATAAAAATTTGCTTCTTAGTAAGTCTCACTACAAAGTGTGATATGGA